TATATATATATACATTGGAAGAAAAATATTTAAAAATTTATTTGCCAAATTTATGTATAATATCATTATCATTAACATTATTATTTGAAAAAGCGATCTTCCAATTGTTTCGAGGAATGTAATTTTTATTAGACGGCACGTACACATACTACAACTACAGCAAAATAAATCACATTGATTTGAGCATCCACTATATCGAAAGACTTTTTGTCCTTCTATTATCAATATGTTTCTTGTTTTGCCTTACTAAACCACCGATCAGGGTAGCCTTGACATTCTGCTTTCGTTTCTGGAACAGAAAAATGTCATTTCTCCGATTAGATTCATACATTGATGACGATTGGAATGAAGAAGTTTGAAGGATTAAAAAAAACACGATATTTTGTCACGCTGGAAGAATTTTTCGGAATGCATTCACACTTGGAATATTCCACTCTCCTTTTCTCGACGTTGCAAAGAAATCTTTTAATCAGAACAAATCAAAATTTTTCAAGTGGTAATGTTACTCAGAAAAATTTCTCCTCGCGTATAATTACGATTTAACGCGATTTTTAATTCGATTCATATTATCTCGATTTCGAATAAGAGAATTATCAATCTTGTCGGATTTCTAATTACAAATGTTAATTAAGGAAATTCACCTTCGAGCTAACCCCGCTCGGCCTGAACCAGATCTTCAGGTGCAACAGCCCCTAAAAGTCGGCTGGTCGTCTGTTTCGTCTCTGCAACAGAAAGCAGATTTAAATTAGTATTACACACGACAATGGAGGCATTAAGGAACTCGATTTCAAACAAAAGAATTTCCAGTTCTATCGGATTCATCGGAATTATGAATTCAAATTAGTGAAACTCATCTTCGCGCCAACTTTGCCAGGCCCGAGCCGGATCTTCCGGCGCAGCATCCCCTTAAAGTCGAGTGCTCGTCTTTGCAATAAAAAACAGATTTAATTAATTATTAATTAGTTACACGATGACGGAGGCATTAAGGAATTCAATCCCAAACAGGAAATTTTTCAGTTTTATCGGATTTCTAATTATAAGTACAAATTAGTGAAGCTCACCTTTGAGGCGACTTAGACAGGCCCGAGCCGAATTCTCCGGCGCGGCATCCCCCAGGCATCGCATCCCCTAGAGCCGCGTGACTGCGTCTGTTCTATCGGATCTCCGTGATGCAAATTTAATTGTATTCAGTAATTTAATAATTTAGTATCAATTAGTTACATACGATAACAAAACAAAAAAAAGAAATTACCGTAACGGCACGCTCAAGTTCCTTTCTAATGCGCAATAAGAAATAATTAAATCATAGCTGAATAAAGAAGTAATAATATCCGATTAATTAATGGATGATGATATTAATATCTGATCGACAAACATAATAATATCCGATAGTATCAATGAATTACACACGACAGCAAGACGAGGTAAGGAAATCATAGTAACGGTACGCTCGAGTTGTTTCCCAATACGCAATAAAAATAATTAAATGACAACTGAATAAAGAAGTAATGATACTCGAATAATATAAATGGATAATGATAATATTTGATCAGTATTGAGGAACTCGATCGCGACGTTTCACTATCTAACAAGTAAAAAAGTAAATGAAACGCGATAATTACTTGTCGCGGTAAAGCCTGCAACACTTGTTCACGTGAGGAATACGCGTCTTAATTTGTCTTAATTAGCGCCTCAATTGTCACGAAGTCAAAACGCAGTGTTAAAAATCGGGGTAATTTTGTAGAATAAGGACTTTTCCGAATTTTGACATTTTTTTGCTGCAATCTTGATAAATATCTTTGTTGTTATTCCAACATTGATAATCAAGTAAAGGAGCCGAAAAATAACCTTTCAATGTTTTTTTATTTTTTCCTACGTATCTTTTCAGGGTTTGTTGTACCTCCATTTAAATTTGCGATTGTTAAACTTTAAGTTAAGTAACTTTAGCTAAAGTACAACAGACTTGCGTCCCCCCCTGCCGCAGTGCGGGGGGTCTGGGGGCGCAGCCCCCCAGTTACACAACTAGGGACAGGCATCTTTTTTATTTTTTACCATATTTCAATAATATAAACATGGCTATATGGCGGTCGCTTATAGTTTCCGAGATATTAATAAAAAAGATGTTCCCGCACCGCAGCGGAAGGGGGCCAAGTCTATTGTACTTAAACTAAAGAGTGAGAATTTCTCACAAAAGTGAAAGGAAAAGTGTGTATTTTATAGAACTGAAAAATTCTTGAAAAATTACGTTATATTCATACAACTTTTTTGGTTAATAACTTTTTTGGTTATAACTTTTTAACAAAGAACGAGCGACGGCTAACCTTCCGATTTTTTAAATCATTACGCTCGATAACGAATTAAACCGTGATGAAGGAAACCGTGACAAAGGAAACCGCGGTGACAAATGAAACAGGCATGATTCATGATAAAAGAATTAGCCAAATCGGTTAAAAATGTTGTTGAAACATGTTGTTAAAGCAATATTTATGTTATGTAGCAAAATAGATGACACTAGTAACATTACTTGCGTACTTTTATTTTTGTTTTATTTTATTGTTATATTAATGTAATATAAGATTAATTAATAATTAATTAATATTTTTTATTGTTTATGACTGCATATATTTGAAATACAATTTAAAAACTCAATGTACAACTTGGAGACCCGGTCTCCAATTTAAACAAAAATTCAATGTTTATTTTTGTAAAAATTATTTTTTTATATTACCAATAAAGTAGTATTTGTTACTAATAAATAAATATTCTAATCTTTTCAGTACTTTGTTGCAATTTCAGTCTTAAACCTTAAGGGATACGATATTCTACGTACATGTGTATGTTAGAAAAAATAGTTAAAAACATAGATAGTTTACATATTTTTCAGGCTTCCCTATTTGATTATCACTATTGGAATAACAACAAAGATATTTATCAAGATTGCA